TTTACGATGAAAAGCCAGCAAACGTTCCAATCCGAACAGACAATGACGAAGTACACCAATGGGCAAATCCTTTGGATGTGTTGTAGCACTACCAATGTCATGAAAAACGTCTCGAACGTATCCACTAACAACTCAACCAGGGAGGAAGTGTCTCCGAAGCTGGGCCAGGCAAAGATCTCTCCTTTCCCTTCTCTCTTCTGTTCTGTCTTGATTTGCCATATCTGGTTTCGCCCTGTCATACGATGCCATTCCGCTTTCGCCGAAGTCGGGAAAGCGTCGCTTTGTCAGTGCTACCATGAAGTTCACTCATCTCCTCGCGTCCCAGCTCGCACTCTGAAGCCATATTCGACTTTTCTTCTGCGAAGATATTTTATCTCGAGTGCGTCATTCCAAATTCGGTGTCAGTGTTAAATGTACTAGTAAAGTGTAAAGTGTATCAGTGTAAGTGTTATGGTTCCGCCTACAGATATGCTACTGTTATTGAATTCTGAACAACGCTTTTGCAATATCAAAACACAGCTTTAGCTTAATTATTTCCTCCTTGTTAAAGATGCATAGAGAGAATACACATCGCTAAAGTAAAACGAGTCCATGATTAATTTATGAATTTTGGGAATAATCACATCGTGTAAGTGGTCGAAACTTTCAAACAAGTGCAACCGGTGAGAATTTTTGACAGGCTGCAAAGTACTTCCAAAACATGTTAACATGTCAATGATGGGAGTTGCGTCGCAGGAGTTTAACTTCAAAGATGATTAACTTCAAAGATTTTGCACGCTCTCATCTCCGGCAATATTGTGCCGGCCTCCGCCAAAGACCGCAACAGGAAATCCCTCACATTCTCCTCCCTACACCTCCTTTGTCCCGTGAAGAAAACTGTCAGAAAAGGGAGTAAGAAATTACAAATATTCGTCATCTTTCAGATGATGTAAACGATCATCTCGTATTTTCAAGTTCTCCACAGTCAATTGCGGAACGCCAAAAACATTTTTCCTTTCGAAACTTGTATTTGCAAATGTCAGATGTAGTTCCTTGTAAGAAAGCTTTCCTGTGAACTTGGAAGAAAAACGCCTCAATGAAACTGCTACAATTTTGATCTAGAAATTAAATGAATTACGTGTCTTATCCTATTCCAAGGAGCTGCGGCACGAGCGTAAGAGCGCCTTAAAGATTTGCATCAACGAAACAATCCAGCAACAACTATTCTCGCATCAAATTCGCAATTCCCTTGTTCCACACAGAAAGAGCAATGTCATGGTTCTTTTCAGTAGTCCAGTTCAGTTTACACCTCTTCAAGCTTCGCGAAAAATTAAGGATATTTTTTTCCTCCAACCTCTGCGAAAAATGTTTGATGTCCCTTCGTTCAGACCATAACCCAAAGGATAACTCTACGATTCAAAATCCAAAAACCGTTACCGAATTGTCAAGCCTGTATACGAATGACAAATTACCCCGAATCCTATCACATCAATCCGAGAACTTGAATGGAATGGTAAGAGTTGATTGTTCTGCTCCACACGCGACTGAGTACAAGTTCAGTTTGTCTCAAAGTGACCACAATGCAAATAACATTCCGCGCAAAATCCCCACCCTCTCTCCCCTAACTCCCGATGAGGCAGAGGCACTGAGGATTGAGTCTTGAAAGCATATACGTAACTTCCTCGACAACGGATGGCCTTCCACGCGCTGTAGATTCTCTAACATTTAACTGACCGCAACTCCTCGGTCTAGGCGGAGACAGAACATCTGCACATCGCGAGCGGTGAGTCGGGTCGGAAAAATATGCCACCCAGTTGGGATGACGTATCAGTTCACTGCTAGACTTTTGAAAATCCATTTCGTCGATTCAGAGTACCTCAGCACAATTGAAAATGACTTTCAAATTTACTTTCAATACAAAAATTGGAAGTAATATTTTCTCATTCAACACAGAAGCTCTACCGCAAGTTGGAAGACTATTCCACCATTTTTAAAGAATCTACTTTGACCTCAAAAACAATACTCATGTTGGCGACATATGACCCACACGAAACTACGGCATCACATTCAAGAGTAAGCTTCATCACCACAGAAACCTCCTTCAAAAAACAGAAGCAGCTTAGTGGATCTATGGTGGTGGTTCCATAGAAAAAAAACTACATAAATTATTGAACAAATTATCTCCCATCAAGCATTTATCAACTCATTATTTCTTGGAAACAAGAGATCTGATAAAGCCCCCCCCCCCCACCTTGGTTTCGAATTCTGGTCGTTACAGAAAGAATCTACTATCTACTAGATCCTACTATCTCAGTAGCAGGAATCACCACTTACTGCAGCATTCATAATGCTCGCCAGCAAACTTTCACTACATCCTACATCTTGACTGTCGATTAAAGATAAATACGATAATATTAATGTTACTTATAACGTTACCTGAAATATTTTTAACCTGTTACACAAAAATCAACGTGAGCTTTAAAATAATTTAAACCAAGAGACTACGATGATCTTAATTTTTTTAATCAACTTATTCAAGTTCTGGAATGTGTATCCAAATATAGCCTCATGAATGTGTATTATTTGGGCTGAGTCAACATTTTTTTAATATGACACGAAATTTGTTACAAATTGTCACGCTACAGTTCAATTTACAATTGAATTGACATACCAAAATCGTTTCATAAGGAATGAACGTGGAATGAGCCAGCACACAAGGCAATTTCATTGTTACTGCTAACATCATTGAGCCGCATGAAAAAAACATTAGAAAAGCGTGGTTATTATAATCCGTTTTTACCACTCCTCTGAGTCGTTGGGGCAGGGTTTCCAAACAGTTTTTACCACGCCCCTATCCGTCAATATCAAAACGTCCAACTCACTCCTTGCACATTTTTAATTGGCAATAGATAAAACAACTGTTACACAGAGTAACAACACACTTACTTTTTACTATTTTCAATTTTAAAAGTTATTTATGATTTTTACCTTTTTTGCAATGTTTGTTTTATTTAGGTAGGTCAAGAAAATGCAATGCGATTTATGCCTAATTAGCATCACAAGTTGAAATTTAAAAAAAAAAAAGTGGTCAAGAAAAATCAGCGAGAAGGATGAGCTTGTATTTTTTACCCGATTCCGAAAAAGAAAGTGCACAACGTAGGACATTAGCATTGTCACGTTTGCCCCGATAGTTTGTTTTAATTGCAACAAGTGCTGAAAACGCGCTGAAATTGCTCCACACTACATAACAAATAACAATGAGGATGTTCGATGGTATCCTTAAGCATGCAAATCAACCCATACTTAATATAATCAATGTTATGCTTTTTTATTTTGCTGCGCTCATCTTGAACGATATCTTGTAACTTGAATGATACAAATCACACAACGCAATAAGGCAACTCGAACCAAATTCACATCATCCTAGCGCGCCAAGTCTTCGGGAATGTTCGGGTATACCATATCTCGATGGGTCACGCGCCCCCACTTTGGGAATCAATGCTTTAAGGTATCGCACCTTGTGGTTCTGTAATATCCTGCTACTCAATGTCTCCATTTTTCAAAAAACCAACTCTAGGCTATATAAGCCAGTTCTTGGGCACAACTGTCAAGTTCTCTGCCCGTGTTGGTGTATCATCAAACGCTGGTGCGTTGAGCAAGCGCCGACAGAATGGTTTTGCTGCTCAAATCGATGTCCGACTTCCTCGGAGAGATCCGTCAGTAACACTGTTGGCGACACTACTGTGACGCTTTTATGACTGGAGGGATAAAAACAGTCGTGGAAGTTCTAGTTTTCTTGGGCAACTTCGTGTCTCATCGAAATCGCATCAGTCTGGATGAGCAACCATAATTGGCTAATAACACACTGACATGAGACCCAAAGGCACACCAATCTGACGAATGACTTCTACCATTGCAATACCCCCAAAACGTTTGTTAAAACAAATTTCCACAACGAATGAACATTATTGAATCATACAACAAATGAATGCGTCGGTAATCACACAATATTCCTAACAACCCAGTATACCTAATGCTTCGTTCCTAAAAGCCTAGTAAATCTAGAAAACAAATGCTGATTATAGTCTTCAAAAACTTATCTCAGCACTAATGCAAAGATAAAAATGTACATGGTTTCTTCGAAGGCCATATAATAACCGCTGAATAGTAGCATATAGTATTCAGAATTGTAACTGAATATTCTTCGAGAATACCGAAAAGCCTAATTAGTAATTATCATGTGATTGTTGGAACATTGTTACAGCATCTGCATTGTCTTTGACTCCTTTCACACGGACTGATTGCTTTAATTAACATCCCCGTACATGCATATTTCCTTAGGACCCATACACAAAGTAACGTTAAAGTACCATATCAAACCCTCCAGATTGCGTTTCGGTTGAACGAAAAGGACGAGCGGTCCTCCACCATCGTCGTCCCCCATTCTGGTTTTCTATATTTATCCCTGATGCAACGTGTTGCGTGTGTGGGAAGTGAGAAGGCGAGAAACGACTTTCCTCATCCGCGCCATGCGGCACAGGAAGCCGGTCACAACGTCGCTCACAACACAATCCGCACAGCACCCCCACAATAGACGGTGCTCTGCTCTCTCTCCGCCCGAACAGGCTCTCCACGGCCGTCTCTCTCTCTCTACGTCTATAAGCATTGCCTGCCCCACGCACGCGCCGCGCCGGCCTCGGCCCGGTCACGCTCAGCATGCATACTCTCGCGGCCGCCGCCACCCCGCCGGCCAACCCTATCCGCGCCGCCGCCGCCGCCAACCCAGCGCGCCGCCCGCCAGGCCGCCCCGCCGCCCCCGCCCCGGCCGGCGCCGCCAGCGTCGCCGCCGCCTCCTGCGCCCGCAGCCGCCGCGCGCATCGATCGCCGGCCCCTGCGCGGCGGCAGCGGCGGCGAAGGCGGCGGAGACGGCGGCGCCCGCTGCACCACCCGCCTCTGCGAGGAGCGCTCCGCCTCGCTCACACAACCCACGCACGCCCAATTCATACGCTAGTCATACATTCCTACGCATTCTTCTTCCTTGCCCGCGTTCTCGATTGCCTTTCCACAGCACGTTCTGCACTGCATGGAACATGACTCTACTAACAAAAAGTGTTAATTTGAAGTTCATAATGAAAGACACACTTCATGAATATCATCCAATAAAAATAAATTAATTTAATGTATTACTGATGGAATAACACGTTTATTCCATCTACTGAAACCACATTCACAAATATTAATTTCCCCCATTTTGTGCTATTTTCTTTACACATTATCTTTTTCTTTCGGCAAGCTTCTACAAGAGAACCTCACTAAATGACGACATTACCGTTGGCGAGTATTCGTTAATATTACATTTTAAATCACGTCATCTCAATAAGCGTTCGTTCCAAATCCAGAAGCAAAAACTGGAATACTTTCCGATACCTCAACTTCCGTTAATCGTCTCGGAGGCCATCAATTCAGAATTCCATGTAGGAAACGATCACACGGTCAGATCGCATAAAAATACATCAACATATAAGCTCTCCAAAGCGAAGTCAATGTGAATGAGACACCGTCAGAACAGAAACCTCCCGGCTTCCATTTCTCCTTTCGCCCTTGCTAGAGCGCTGTCGCCAGCAGGGCAGGAAGCGGAGGGCTGAGGAAGCGAGGGGGTGATGAGCAGAAGGCAATCGGGGGGCGTTGGTCCGGAGCGGCAGGGGAGCCGGGAGGAGGGCGGCAGGGGCACACGGACAGCCGGGCACCGGGGGACGAACTTCTCGCCATCCGCCACGGGCTCCCGCTTACCTACCTTGCGTGATACCCTTCTCAAAAATGTCCTTTTCTTTGCTTAACTGGGAAGATACAAAAGGTATACGTTAATGCGGCACAGCGAGACACGAACAGCGGAACGAGGCCGCACCGGGGTGAAGATGACGGGACCGACAGGGAAGAGGAATCGTTGGGGAGGAAGGAGCTGTGGAGGAATAGTGCGGGGGAGGGGGTAGGAATGGCGAGGTGAAGCGGAGGAGGAATGGGCAAGGCGGAAGGAGGAGAAGTGCAGCGGAGAGATGAAGGCGATGAAAGGGATAGCGGACAGCCACAATGGAGGGGAGCGGTGCAGGGCGCAGGTGAACTGGATAGCAGAGCGGCGGAAAGATAAAAGAGCGGAGGCTGAGAAGGACAGCAGTGGTGTCGGGCATTTGTTACCAAGAGCGGCGGTGATGGTGACGCCGCCACCTTCCGCGCTCCATGAACAGTGGAGCGTTCATCAACAATTTGGACGTTAAATATAGAAAGTTAATGTTTATTTACATTCCACCTCTGTTGATGAACACGTAAAATTGTAAACCCGGTAAAATTGGAACATTCTTTAGGTTTCTTACGTTGGCGCAGGCGCGAGGTAATGCAATTAAACGAACAAAATGTGTTCGGAGGTTGTTCTCAGTTCGCTCAAAAATCTATTCACTTGGCCAAGAAAATAAATTTTCTTTTCAATATAGTAATGCTTTGACTACCCCACGCAATAACCCAATATTTTGCAATGAGAACATCTCCTTTAAAAACTTTACTGCTATGTATACGTAATTATCACCATGTAAAAATTTAACAAATATTGTAGGATCCAACGCAGCACGACTCGTGTAAAACATTGTATTAAAAGTAAATTACCTCTTTCGATACCGAAATCAATACCTACAACTTATAAAGGAATAAACTGATACGTGCATTGCGATATCAATTAAAAAACCGAGCATTCTGTCTAAAATAAGACAAAAATATTCAGAGTTGTGTATGCCTCTTGTGTTAAGGCAGAAGGTATATGATTGAGTACTATATGAAATATTGCCCTCTTTGAGAACAAGGTTAATTTGAGATAAAGCCTGAGATAAAGGCATTGTGATACCATCATCTGACAAATAAGATGGACTATGACCTACTTTATTGCTTTCACACATTTAACTGAAAATTCCAACCACAAACGACAATGCTGACTTTTTTTAAATTGATGAAGATCTTATGACTTCAACTGTGTTATAATTTTTGGAATCATAAAGAAGATGAGGACAAATTAATGGATCCAAAAGGCTAGCGCTTGGAATGTATTTTTATTGTGAAATAATTAACTATGAATTTTACAGGGGAAAGGGCCACATTGCTATCCAGCGGCAAAATAAGGGGCTATCCGAGCTGTGGCGGTAGCGCGTGAGCATGGCTTCCAGCCCAAAGGGGCGGAGCCCCGCCCACTCAGCAGCCTCCACGCCCAGCGGAACAGCAGCAGCTGCGCTCGCGCACCCACGCCCCCTCGGCCAGGCAGCGCGAGGCGCACGCAGTCCGCGGTCGCGATCAGCCGCCGCACTTCAAGCCCCTTTCCTTGACGCGACGCAACTCGAGGTTGTGCACACGAACGTTTCTCGAGCGGAGGCCGCGCCGAAGCCCCCCCCCCCCCTCGTCCGTCCTTCAGGGCCGACGTTGCGGTCTCTCCTCCGCAGCAACGGACGACACTGGATCCTGAACGTCATCACGTGTACTCGAACCTACCACCCAGCTTTACACGCTGAACACATCGGAGACCGACAAAACAAAACGCGAGCAGATCTGCAGGGTGTATTTCGTGTTCCACGCCTTCACTGCCAGGCACGGTTCGCTTAATATTCACAGAGAAACCTTGTTTATAAATCGCAGTGACATGGCAAACAGCACGCGAAAGACCGCACTGAACAAAGGTGCTTCTGTTTAAGGAATACCTACTCATTGCAGTCCGCCAGTGTTCTTTGCTAACCGCCACCTTGTTGAAACCGGCTTTCTTCGCATAACCCTCGTCGTTCGGTTCAATTTCGTAAAATTATCTCACGGAAACTCTCCCCCTGATAAGCTTTCGCTCGTCATTCAGCAATTCCAAATCATGCCTGATAAAGGGACACAAGCTTTCCTAATTGATACCAAATTCACCTCATCAAAGAAACGTAAGTTATTATGTTTCCTAATTTTTCTATGTAAATACGTTTGAATACGAATCACTCATCCCTTCAGGAATCACCTCCCCCAGCGAGTTCTCGACTCGGACAAAGTATATTTCACTGGGATATGTGATAAGATTTCCGATGACAGACGGCCTTAAAAGCTAGAAATTCCCCTACCCCTTAACATAAGTTCAGCCCATGACTCAATAACGCAACACTATATGAAAAAAACCTTCTCTCAACCTCTGGCATCGCTTGCATTAAAGAAGGCGGATCTCGTGGGAGATCCGTCTTGTGCGGGACTGCACGCAAGCATAGCAGGGGGTTGGGCAGGGCGGAGTTCAGGTTTGAGGGGAGGAGGGGCGAAATGACGAGGGGGCTTGCAGGGGCGAGGGGTTGGGAACGAGGGCAGAGGAGCATGCGGAGGGTTTAATTGGAAGCGAGGGGGAGCGGAGGGTGCGGAAGAGGGGATTAGAATTGTGAGGGGGGGAGGCAGGAGGGCGGGGGATAGGGCCATTGAAGGGGGGCGAGGGGAACCGGCGGACGCTGCGGCGAAAGCGGTAGCTCCGGCGCCAGCGCACTTTCTCTAGTCGGTTCCGCGTTGCTGGGGTTCGGAAGTCTACACCTCCATCTCCAAAACAATAACACCGCGGATTCCTTGCATCGACCTTTTAAACTTGCATTTCGTTTCCCCCTACTACTACCACCCCACGTTTCAAGGGCAAATTCCAACCCGGGGGTGCTAGTCGCACCTTTCTTGTGCGAACAGCAAACGCTATTCGACGCTTGCAGGGTCACACGCAGAAGTAGCGAAGTTGACTTCGACACCAAAAACTAAAAAGTCCCTTACAGTCAACATTACAGTCCCTTACTTACGACAACAGAAAATCTTCAATGCCGGAATGCATTTATCAAAAATCTCCTCTAAAAAATTAACGTATTATTTGTCTTTACATACGATTTCCGCTATTAACTTACTATTTCTTTAAAAATACAGCTATTAATTATTTTTATTAAAACTGTTCCCTTGACCTAATAAGAAAGTAGCGATAGCGAAATCGACTTTCATAGGAAAAAATTAACGAAATACGTCAATTAACGAAACCTTGGGACCCCGCAAACACTAAATGCAAATACGAAATATTCATGCAAACGCAAGGAAGTAGTAGGAGGAACCCAAAAAGGAGGGTAACCTGGAAAAATGTCGGTTTTTTTTCCTTTGTGAATGTTGAATGTTCCCAGACACTAGTTAAAATCACAAGTTATCGACTTCCCAGACCCTGAACTAACTCTGGGGTCTCGAAAAACCGGTATTTTTGCGGACTTTATTCGTTCCCCTTCCTCTCAGTAACTTTAATCTCAAGTCCTGTAAAAATCATTCAGATCAATCTTAAAGACGATACAATTTCTTACCCTTTTGTATACAACTTGTTTCTTTTTATATCTAACACTAAACGAGCTCTTGATGCTAGAGACTCCAATGATTTCCGGAGGTGGGGTACGGGCGCGCACCTGCTTAGGGCCTACTCCTGGGTATTAAAATTCGCAGTTGCTGAATCGCTCTTTCCACACTCGGTGAATTCTCGTATATATTCAGTGTTATAAATCTTGTTTTTTAGCATTATAGTTTTAGCTCGTTCTTTCATAATAAAATTGTAATTGCTTTATTGCTGCCCTAACACAGGTAGATTGCACGTAAATAGGTGACGTTCTTCGTCGCGAATGGGGTGGTGCTGTAATACAACCTCCGCAGAGAGAACAGTCCTTTTCTAAGTCAAACAAGTTTGACAGAAAGTGAGATTTTTGTGAAAAAGAAAAAAGTTTTCGCGTTTCAAAATCAATTGAAAACAAAAAAAATTGCCGATCAACTGTCACTGGAAACGATTGGAGCACTTCACTCTTCAAGGTGCTTGTCAAAAAAGTCGTGATAGCAAATACTGCAATATATAATGCCTAAATCTGATTGTGTTACCGTCACAGGTAAAATTGTGGATCAACTGATCTTGCTCACCACTAGCTTCTTACTAAGATATTTATTTCTCGAAGAAGGGAGACAAGTATCATTCATTAAAATCGTTCAAGTTTGACATAGTTTACCTTCGTGCTTTTGTTGGGGGGGGGGGGATATTCTCCCCCTGTGGACAAGGGAA